AGCTGTGCTCTCCAAGCACGGAGGGCTGCTGAGGAAGAGGAGGCTCGAGGAGCACCCCTCATGGTTGTGAGCATCACCCTGGTTGTCTTCAGAAACGTGTCTCTGGAGCCACGTCTGGTTTCGCTCCCTCTGGCAGCCCGGACGATGCCCTGAGAAGAGCAGGGTGAAGAGGGTTATTATTATTATTATTATTATTAATTATTTTGGGTTTTTTTATCTTCAAAGCACATTCTGGGTGTCAGTGCTCGGAGCAGGAGACACCAAACCCCACCTCATGTGGGTTGGGCTGCGTGGGGCACTGGGAGGACGTTGGCAGGATGCCCTGACCTCTCTCAAGTCCCTGCTGCTGGGCAGGAGGAGGGGAGGAGGGCAAGAAAAAAATCACCTTTCTCCTTCTTGTGAGGGCAGCCATGCAGTGAAGCTGCTGAGAAGGACACGAGAGCAGCACAGGCAAGGGCAAAACCAGGATGGCAAGTCCATGCTCTGGCCAGGAGATGGGTCCTTAGGGGGTGAAACCAGTTTTAAACACTGATGCTGCTGAGGTTCAGGGGCTGGGGGGGAGGTGTTTTTACAAAAAAGGAAAAAAATCAAACAAAATAGACTGTGAACCTCTTCAGGTTGTGTGTTTCCAGCCTCAGGGAGTAGCCAGAGAAGGGTGTAACCAGGCACTTCCCAGCTCTGCTGCTGGGCTGGCTTTCCCCAGATTCACTAGGTGAATTGACTTCTTATCATATTGATAGTCTCGCCCACCCCCCCGTGTCGCTTGAGGTTCCCTTGCACCCCTTTCTTCCCCCCAAACCTTCACCCTGCGCCCGGGGGTGGTGAGTTTGTGGCCATGGCAGGTTACCCTGGTGCTGGGTGGGGATGGAGGAGGGTGCTGGTGGCTTTGGGAAGGGCTTTGGTGACCAGGACGACTCGTCTGCCTTCTCTCCCTGCCTGTGTGGGTGGGGGTGATGGGGTGACGGCCATCCTGCCACCTCGACTTGGCACCAGGGGCTGGAGCTGAAGCTCCTCACCCCTTGGCAGGCAAAGCAGAGGGTGTGCTGTGTCTTTTTGCTGCCCGTCCCACGAGAGACAAGGGATCTCTGCTTTGGGCACAGCCTGGGGCAGGCTCAGCACCATTGGGTAGCGTTGGACCCTGGTTTGGTTGCTGGCTGTAGTTCCCAATTTGGCTGAGGTGCCAGTGGGGTGACGTTCCTCTTGGGCTCCTAGCCCTTGTCCCTGCCTGCCTAGGTCTCTGCCTGTTGGCACTGCCAGCATCCCCGTGGACTGGCACCTCTGCTCGTGGTGGCTTTGCCCTGTCAGCACCCAGGAGGCTGTTGGCCTCATCCCACACCCAGAAGGTGAATGAACAGCGTGTGGAGGGGCAGGGAGCTCTCCCAGGAGCACCCAGAGGTGCCACAGGGCTGCTTGCTGCCATGGGTGATGCCCTCCAGGAGAGACTGGCTCAGCTCTATCCCTGGCAGCCTCTCCTGTTGGTGTGGTCACTGTTCCATCCCTGTCCCCTCTGCGGCTGGTCCGTGGGACAAAGCAGCGTGGCGTGTCCTGGCTCGGGCACTCGTGCTGCTGATTTACCAGTAGCTGGGAGAAAAGTGGGTGTTGGAAACTCCTTTTCCCTGCTTGAGAGAGCTGCAGCCCCGTCTGACCGACTTGATGTGGAAAAACTGAGTCCTCTGAATGGCAAACGTGCCCTCTCTCCTCTCCCAAGGAGTTATTTGGAAAACACCGTGGGGCTGGCGGCTTTCCACGGGGCAGAGGGCGGCCCTGGCACTGCCAGGGCTTCGTCGTGGCTGGCAGGAGCAGCTCGGGGGCA